TATATATATAGTAGTAATTGTGTTTCCGGCTGCAGAAATCTTTCAATGCATTATTAGTAGTTATTTTTTTTTTTTTGTTAATTTGTGTTGCCATTTTGAGAGTGAATTTCTACTGACTTAAAACAGTCTCTATAGTCTTAAAATGTTTATAGTAGTTTGTTTAAATAATGTTTAAAAGAAACTTAACACAACAATCCCTCTTGCTTTAGACTGTTATTTATATAGAAATCTCTCTGAACACATAATCTCAGGTCAAGGAATAGAACCACACCTGACAGCTGCTGGAAGTAAATGAGGTGGACTGAACACAATCAGGTTAAATTATGAGCAGTTACATGTCAAAACCTTTGAAAGGGACACTCAAATTTACATAAAAAATTAAATATATTGCGTAATAAACTCCTGTCTCCAATGACTGATATACAATTGACGGACCTTGCTAGCTGACCTTTAAACTTCTCCATAGATAAATGTTAGGTGGCTCACATGTCGGGCAGATGTAGAAAACATTTTATGGAGTGGCAGGAAGTTTTATCATAACTGGGCTTTCTCTATTGATTATTGATAACTCCACCAGTCCGAATATTCCTGTAGGAAACTTATTGTACAAAATTGCAAAAACACATTCTGTATATGTGTAGAGCCAAAATGATGACAAGCCTTGTTTAGTGTCTCCATAATGGTTAATTTCCTTTGTATGTTTGCATAACTGTTTGATACTAATTCTACTAACAAAACATTAGGTGATAACTTTTATTTGGTGGTAGAATCTACTTTTAACAGTGATAATGTGAAAAAAATGCCACCAGCATTTCTTATTGTTCCTGCTGTTTAAACTACAGAGTAACCAGTGTCCATTAGTGGATCATGGCCTAATCACSCTGAAAGACACCAGTCCTGTCAGAAACCCAGTGCAGGATGACATAAAAGTGATTCCTCACACTTATTATGTAAGTAGTTACTGTTTGATATGACCTGATTCTCATCAGGGATGTCCCGATCCGGATGTTTTAGCTCCTGATACAATCTGATATTTTTAAATGATTAGTTTTTCCCATACCGATCTGATAGCTTTATTTCTTTCCAAGTGACAAGGTTGGTAGTTTTAAAACGAGRCCTGCTGTTCCCACCATGAGAAACATCCAGTTTGCAGATTTTGCAAGATGCAGTTTCAGAATCATTGTTTTCCAATGAAAAGTGTTCTCACACTGTGTCTTGACTTCTTAACAGCAGTTGTAAAGCATGATGATGCCGAAAACTGGATCGGCCCGATCACATGACTAAATCTGATTCTACCCGATTTTCAAAAAATGTCTATATCTGCCACCGATACTGAGAATCTGTTTGGGACATCCTTACTTCTCATAGGCATGATTTGACTCAAATTGATCTGGAAATGTAAATTTGACTCATTGGGCCTCATGCAAGAACCATTCGTACGCACAGATTTGTTCTTAAGTTGTGCGTACGAGTGATTTAGGAGAATTTGTGACATTCACCA